ATGTTATGGAGATTTAGACGTAGAATTGGATTTCCCCAGCTGTGAAATCAGTTTTTGTAGTCCTGCTGGCCAACCGCATCATTCTGCCATACCACGCTGTACTCTCCCACCGCGGCATACACATGCAGTTTTTGCCTTTTCCGCTCCATGAGCTCCCTTTGCATTTACAGCATCTAGCCTCATGCTATATGTTATTATCGACGTCTCAGGTCGACTGAGAGAAGACTGTAAGCTCTGTGTGTCACTTCATTGGTTTTGCATTAGCCCAAATGCGTAGAAATGGCACCCGTAAGCCTTTCATGAGAAGCACTTCAGCCTGAACCGCTGTGACTGGCAGAGATACATCATGTGTTTATGAAAAATGAATCAGGCAGCACAATCTAGTGGATCTACAAATGTCAAACATCACACTTCAAAAGCCCTCTTCAATTTCTCCGAGTGGAATCAAAGTCGCTGAAATGAGAAGGTCTCTTACTCGGAGTCACAGATGATTTTCAATCAAGTGGGAGAGTGAATACATTGACTGAGAATGTATCCTTCTACCATTCAAATGCAACCTTTGCGATAGACGAGGTGAGGCAGCCAGTCCTCCTCTTTCATGTGGATGGGCTCAGCGATGAAGTGCTTAATGATTTTTTTGGAGGCAGAAGTTCTGCAGTGCTTTCCAGGGCCTCGGCCTCGGCGAGCCAACAAGTCGAGGGAGCACTGAGGATATAAACATGTTTAATGAGGATTACCTTGGGGTTAGAAACTGTGCAGTTTTCAACTTATTTAATGAATTAACATACCACAAACCTTCTGAGGATCGTTAGAGCCATATCAGTCCTTGTAGGAATGCTGCTTGAGCTCGTTCCTTTACTACCCCATTTCCTTAAAGGTTTGGACAACATATCAAATGTTGAAATTGGGAAATGTCGTTGTTTTCAGAAAAACATATGGCCATTTTTAAATTGATGCCAGCAATACCTCTAAGAGGCTGACACAGCGGCAAGAATGAGGAAGTTGACATACTTAAAGAAAACACGTGGTGGAACATCTCACAGATGAGGAGGTTAACTGGAAAAGATTGGGTTAGATGTGGTGAGAATCAAAGAGAAGCCAGAAGCCTGAAGTACCAGGTGGGGTTCACTACTGCTGGAAAATAATGCTACAGTTAATTATAAATACATTTGCTGATTTTATCTGAGCCCATTAAACAGTTAGCCAGTTGCTATTTGATTTGCGAATATTTACATGTTAACTGCAATATCAGACAGTTTGGACATCATAGAAGCTCACTGCCAGCTCACCTGTGAAGTGCACACCATGTTGTGGGCTAAGTCTTTATCACAACAACCCAGTTTGATTTCAACGCTGGCCCTTTGCTGCATGGTTTTTCCGTCTCGCTTCAAAAAAAAAAAAAAAAATAGCGTAAAAAATTCAAACAGGAAACCATTCTGCAGACTTTTGGCGCCAACAGCAGGTGGGCGAGCATATTACAGACACTTAAGTGGTATCATTTGTTGCATTAAAAGGAGTGAAAAAAAATTGAGAAAGCATTTTATTGGCTGCCAAATTATTCCCAGAATGCACGATAGGTTACAAACGTTTTTTCCAGGAATCGCCAAATTCAAAACACAAGTAAAAATCATCTACAAAACTATTATTTGTGTCACTTTATTGCCAGATATCAACATATGAGTGATTATAAATGAAAGACACAAGTGGTTAAATCACTTCACAGTCAGATTTGGCACTCACATTGAGCTCTGGTGATACATTAAACTTAATTTCCATCTCCGTGGAAACACTGCTGTGAGCCACACTGAGTTAATCAGTGTATATTATAGTATAATCTATATGTTTTAATTAGTAACGTCAGATCACATGAGGGACATTTGATCCGTCGACTCACTGCTCATGTGGACTTGATTTGACTCATAAAAAAGCTCCTAATCTGCAGAGGCACACACTTAATCGGCTTTTGAATAATTACCATTAAGTAACGTCCATTTTACAAATCATTTTAAGGGAACATCTGGAACATGATAAGGAGGGTCCTCCAGCTCATTTGAAAAGGGCTGTGGGGTGACTTCAGACAGAGGAAAAGGTCAGAAAAACATGTTCTCATCATTGTTTTATGGAATATAAAATCGTGCTGCTCATTTTTAGCGTACAATCTCAAAGTGCCCATTAGCAGTTCTAACAAAATGTACGGTTTGTCTGTTCTGCCAGCCTTACTATTTGAAAATGCACAAAGAGGAACAGTCTAATGTTCCTCTTTTTTTGCTGCACTGTAGAGTAGAAGGAATCCTTACATATGATCTGACACGAGAAGAATGTCCTCTACAACTTAGTTAAATATCATTACAGTATTTCATGGTTTATTAAAGAGATGTTATTTTCTTTATGCATTAGAAATTATTACAGAGCTCTTAAGAAGACGGAACAAGATGTCTTGTGATGTTTCCGTCTCCGTGATCTGTGTGTTGCTGCAGCCTTTTCAGATATCCTTATGCTTTAATGAAAGGAACTCATACTCATTCTTGGAAATCAATTACAAATCCACTTTTCAAACCCCTTCCTTCATTTTGTTTGAATAAGTGATACGAACATTGATCCTGACTTAGTGTTGTTGGAGTACGACTCTGTCTAAATTTCACATGTACTCAAACACTCAAAGGAGTAATCAGACTTCGATATTATATTATTAATTTTTAATTCAACTATGTAGTATTTAGAAATATAAGAATGCATTGCACGATGTAATGACTTTTTTATCTAGAGTTTTACATTTGAACAAAGAAGCACTCCCTTCTGGTGTTAAAGAAATTCCATTTTTGAAGATGAAGTCTTGGGAATTCCCCTCTCCCTGATAACAGAACCAGGATCTTTGTTTATATCAGGCTTAGAGCACCATCTTTTATTGGGGTGGGAATCAGCAGAGACCCAACGATAGGATGTTATCACGATACTTAAGTCACAATTGGATATTATTGCTGTTTTAAAGATTTTGCGATATGCTGAGAATTGCGATACAATATATTGGGATTTAACTTTTTAACTCTGTATTGTGTCCACAAAATTAAACAAACTCAAGAACTGTTTTTTCCAAATAAGAAGAAAATCTCACTTCAGTCTTTTTATTTCTATCCAATGGGAGAGAACTTAACTGGACACAAACATGTGTTCAATTCAACTTCTTTCAACAAAAATAATTGTGCAACCCCTTCAGCAATTAAAAATTGAAAAAGCACATTTGCTATTAATATAATAAAAATATCGATACTTGGTGGCCATCAATTGATATTTTATCGCCACGCAAAATATGGTGTCTATTCTGTATCGATTTTTTTCTCCACCTCTAATCTGTTTGATGAGAGTCACTGTTGAACTGTTGACCAATAAACTGCACTCAATTTGTTGTCATTAAACTCAGATCGGACCTGTTGTAGTCACATCTAAAGAGCTTTTCCACCTCTCTTAATACAGACAGGAGAATGACATATATGATAACGTATTCATTGTGGATGCATTGTAAACGGATCTGCTGCTCCAAAGTATTATTTCAAAGCAGGCCTTCTGAAAGTATAATAAAATATCATATTTTAAAGCTTTATCTTGTATTAAGAACATATAGATCAGTGTTTAAGACTGCTAAGCTTTATATCTAAGGCTGGGAACATATTTGCTCAGTGCTGAGATGCTGTCAGTACGGCCTGCAGAGAAATGCAGCATGAACGGACAAGAGAAAGACAGTGTTTTCAGCTGATACTGGGTTATGGCGTGATGGTCTGCTGCTGAAATTGCTGGAACAGACTTTGAAGTGGCTCGGCTTTCTCATCTCGCTCACTGTGTCCCTGCCTCCCACATCTGCCGCCATCATAATAACAAGCAATAACCCTCTTTCGGCAATAACCAAGACTTTTACGCCCGTAATGTGGCTTCAATAAATAGTCATGTTTACCAAGGGGCCATATTTTACAGCAATTTAGTTTAGAGCTTCCCCTCTTGCTTCGTTTTTTTTTTTTTTTTTGCCCCCTCTTGCTGGAGTACGGTACATAATGTGTTGCATTATGCACACCAGCACAAACAGGCATTAACACATTATCAAATGTACCGACACAGAGAGTAACACAGACCATCCTGCATAATCAAACCACACATTGTGCTGTGAAAAATCCCCTTTTTCACTCTGAGGTTTGGTGGAGATACATGTTGAACATCAGCGTGCATGTGTATGCATACGCTGGAGGTAGACAGCTTTCTCCAGGCCCTGTCAAAAGCAGCAGCGCAAGCACGGGGGCGCGTTTCATTAGTCTGTCAAACTCAATGATATTTAGGGCCCCACACCCTCGGCCAGGACTGGAAAACTCAATCAGCACTCTGATTTCATAACCCTGCTCGGTGACAGGGTTTATTTTATCGCCCCGCTGATTCATTCTAATAAAAGCCGGCTGCCCAGCGCACCGTCACTGAAATACAACCACACACACCCCCCCAACCCCCCCCCACCCTGTCCTCCATGGGTCGACCCCAAAGAAGAGAGGGGTTGGGATCGGGGGGAGGGGATAAATCAGAATTGTGGGAACTGGAAGGTGCAGATAATCCATCGCTGGTCCGGGTGAAGCTTGAAGTCGGCCGCCCCCATCCCTCCTTCCCTCTGCACCCTTTAGCACAAATCAGAAGCCGGGACAGTGTTGATCTGTGAGGGCTTGGTGGGGCCATTGATTGTGGACGACAGAGGAGGAGACGGGCGATAAATAATGGGAGGCAGAGTACGGAGGGTGAAGGAAAACAATTATCTGCGGAGGTGGAAAGCACATAAAGTGAAGAATGATAAACACTGTGAAATATGATTGACTCCAAGTGATATATGGATGCCGAAGGACAGGCGGAGAGGTCTGTGTGCGCTGAGATATCCTTGAATGGAGCGGCTGTGGGGCGGTTTAGCTGAGGACTCACTCTGCCACTGGAGGCCTCACTCACATTCTCCTCTGCTTGTGTCTCTTTCTCCACAGACGACGGATGACATTGTGTCATCGGCCGAGTGCTCCAGCGACGACGAGGACCTGGAAGAGTGCGACTCCGGACATGCAGGTGGGATGGGTGTGTCAAGTTGTGCTTGCTCTGACCCTGGTCTATTTCTCCTTCTCTTTTCTTTGATTTGCTACCGAGGAGCCTCTCCTCTTAGCATCATGTCCCATGGGAGCTTCAAGTGTAACTTCAAAAAGCCCTCCGAAAAGTAGCCGCTGTGAGAAATATACACTAGTGGGAGGGGTTCTCAGTGTATATCCAAAGTTTTAACAACTCTTTGGAGATGGATGAAAGCAGTAAGAATCAAGTCGCTACATCCTTAGCATGCCTTCTGCAGGAAGTTACAGTTTTAACTCTTAACTGTAAATAAGTTAATGCTAACCTCTTCTATAGACAGCTGCTGTAGTTAAAGCTCGTACCTTTCATCTCAAAAAACAAGTTACACTTAGCTATGGGGCCTCTGGCTGCAGACATGATGAAGCGTTGATACTAATTTTGTTCTCTCAGCATTCAGTCGAGAGCAAAACTTTACTCCAAAAAGTACGAAATTAGTATCAAGCCCCATGTCGCCCGCACTGATGCTTCAAAATGTATCTGTCCTGTACATGGTTGATCTCCTCTTGCTGTGCGTGTGTGTGCGTCTCTCTTGACAGAGGATACATTTTGAGATTCTTTCGAGAACAAAGATGCTTCCAGCATAGATACTGTGATATGTAGCAGACTAACTGCAACAGAGCCTCTTCCTCCTCTCTTCTTCTTCTCTTGTTTGTACCTCTGTTTCCTTCGTCGGAGGCTTGCCTTACCTGAAACATTCTAATAGAGAACAGATATCCTCGAATTTCTGTGCGCATCGTCTCTTTTCCCTCCTCCCTCACACACACACACACACACACACACACACACACAGAAACATACACAAACACATCCACGAATCACTTTGTGATAATATCAAAGTGATAAGACACAGAGTGGAGCTTGAAAATAAGACCAAAAGCTGGAAATAAAACTGCAGATTGTTAAAGGAGTGGTTATTTTGAGGCAACTTGGGTTTGGTCGACTTCTGAACATGCAGCTGTCAATCACACTCGTGCCCGGGAGCGTTGGCATATATATCTGAGTAGTGTGGAGTAAACCAGGAGAGTGTGAGCTCTACCCGAACTGGCTTAGTATTTGAGAAGCGTCGCCCCTTAGGCACTCTGGAAATCATTACCAGCTCAGGATATTTTAATGGCTTTACTGTCCTTCAGCGTGTCGTCATAGCCGGCTAATTGATGCCACGTTAATCTGGCTAAATATGCTCGGCTTAGCACCGAGCATATGTCCACTTTTCACTCTTAATAATAAACCCAAATTGAAACAATGCGTTGCCCTTTGTTATCAGTGCTCATAGAATGAAACAGATAATCAAGCATTTCTATATTCCTCTGGGGAAATGAGGTCTTTCTGCGCATTAAGGTAGATATTCTTCTTTTAATTCTACCGTTCCCTCCAATCGGGGAAAAGGAACTCCAAAGCCTTATCGCACTGTATTAGCGTTTGTTTCGTTGAAATTATGACCACATTTAGGTCCTTGAGCTTACGGCTTTTTTGATGTGAATAGAAAGCAATTTTCTCCGTCCCTCCGTGCAGCATTTAGGTTCGTTATCTACAAGCACGAGTTGCTTTCTCTTTCGGAGATAATTGGAATTGAACGGGCAAATTTTCACACCTCATATATTTTATTTTATTTTCTCAATTTATTTTCCTCTCTGTCGTCTTTTAAAGCCTCAAACCCAAGTGTTCTCAAAAGTGGAAGAGTCAGACGTTTTTTTTTTTTTACTGTGAGGGAACATGGTACCCTCCCCTCATATAGTGGCCACATATGTAGTCATACACACTCATACATACCGTACATTTCACCATGTGGACACAGAAATTCATATCCTCATTCCTGCCCCGCTTCCAGTCGTATGAACAGTTGCATGACATGGTGTTGGTTTCTTTTCTGTTGCATTTGTTTTCCTTTCTCCTGTGATGCACATATGAACATCTGTCCTCTGTATCGATTTGGACCCAGCTGCTGGGTTGCTTAAGATTTGAGCTTTTTTGTTTTTGTTTTTGCCTTTCCTTTGGGATGCAAAGGGGTGGGTTGAGTGGGGTAGTTTTATTTTTCTTGGTTTGTCGTGGTTGAGGGGTTTTTATTTCTTTTCTTTTCTTTTTTTTTTTTTCCTTTGGTGTCCTCCTCATCATCCGTCGCCCATCCTCCAAGCAAGGATAAGAGCCACTCCTCCCGTTTTTGCCTCATCTTGTGCCGCATGAACTTTTGGTGGTTGGAAAATTTCAAAGTTCTCCTCCTCCTCATCAAGTTTTGTGTTTATATTTTTGGTGCCACATGGGCTTCTAAAGAAAACATCCTCCCCTCATTTTTCGATACAACATAGGGAAATGAACGGCAACAAAATCTTTTCTTGCCATCATCCTTTTTTTGGGCCTTGTGCAGGCAACCCCATTCTGTCTCAAGAAAGTTGTGTGTGAAAGAATGACTCCCTGTCTGCCCTTTCCGAGCGTTACCCTTCCCCCCGACCCCTCCCCCATCCATCCTCCGACTCACCCACCTTCTTTCTTTTAGCCTTTCTGCATATACATGTCTGTTTGAATGCAGATGGCATAAAAAGACTTTTATTGCCACAAAGTATATCTGTTTTTCTATTCTATCTGTTGCTCCAAGTAGAAGGCATTTGTGGCATGCACAGTGTACTGGACTGTACCGCAGCTCTATAGACTAACCGATTATCCTCTCCCCCAAACTCCCCTGGCTTCTGCATGCATATGATTGGCATCCATTTTGTGTGCTGCTTCTTCTCCACCCATAAGTCTCAGGCGAACCCCCAGCTGGCTTCTACTACATGTCAGTGTGTGTGTGTGTGTGTGTGTGTGTGTGTGTGTGTGTGTGTGTGTGTGTGTGTGTGTGTTCGGGCTACAGCGGTGGTCCTGCACCGCTGCTGTTCCCCGCCGCAGCAGCCCCTCCCTCAGAGGCGTCTCGTGTTTGTGCTTGTGCCTGTTGTCTGTGTCAGTGCTCTGTCTGTGTCTGCCAAACAGTCTGTCCTGTCTGCTGTACGTGCTCGTCTCGTGCTCGTGTTTGTCTCTGTGTTTAATAAAGTGTTAAACCTTACCTTCTCCCTTCTGTCCCCTGTGAGTTCCACAAGAGAGCACAGAAGGATTGTGCAGTGAAATCCCGAAAACACATAAGAACCTGTGCAGCGTCGCAAAAAAGTTAAACCAAACAACTAACTTTTGTACAGGAGTTCAGTAGCAGGTTAGGACTACAATCTGAGAATCACTCACGCAAAAATAAATAAGCAATGCTACATTTATATAACAGCAAATAAGTCAATTTATGATTTAATTTCACAGTGATTAACTGATTAAAAGTGCTGCAGCTCGTCATTACCATGTAATCAGAGCAATTGTGTGATTAATATGTAATTATGTTTTGGTAATTGATGCAAATGATTTCGATGAATTCGAGTGCTAATCAGAGTACTTGGTCGGAACATGCACTGCTTTGAAGTTACTAATAATCCGAGGGGACATAATGTGAGTTAGACCAAAGGAAATAATTCAATTACATTTTAGAATAGAAACAAGATACTTGTGCCCTAATAAAAAAAGATTAGAGCTCAGTGATGAAACCCCTCCCATAGTACCCTCCTCCCTTTACTGGTGCCCTACTGGAAAGTAAAATAACCTACCACATGTTCATTAAGGAACACCACAACCCAAAGACTAGACAATTCATCCATAGAGCACCATTCAAGCAAAACAACTCAAAGTGATTTACACAGTTATGGAAATTAAGCAAAAACATGACCTAAAAATACAGAATATATAAAAATATACGTTCAACAACCATTGATTTTGCCCCTTTAAATCGTTGAATGCAAACAACCCAGCTCATCTTAAGTCAGCTCATCAGTTGCACTTATTGTTTGTGTAGGGCCTCAAACCCCATAGGTAATTACCACTAATTGAGCCTAATCTCCTTTTACAGTACACATTATATTTTATTGGTTTTTGAACCCCTAGGTGGGACCTTGAACCCTGTACACTGATGCATTCACACGTCTTGAATGTCCACCACCTTTAAAACAGCTTTACACCCTGTACAGACCCAGGCTCCATTCATGTTAGCTTCAGGTATTAATAACACTGATAATACCTACCCTTCAACATGGCCCCTATAGGTCCCTCAAAACCCAAATATAAAGATGGGAGAGAGAGTGGCAGCAAGAGCCAGAACACCAGGGTCATCAAACGGTGCCTCATTGCTCTACTGTCTGCTCATGTGTTGCTGGAAAGCTCTCTGACTGTGACAGCCACCGGGCAGTTACACTTGTCCTCATTCCTGCAGTAGTAATCTGGTACTTTTTCCTCAACAGAGCAGCATTGCAGTAGCTTCAATGTGTTATTATCAGTTAAATATACAGAAAACAAGTCCTTATACGACAGTGACATAATAGGTTGTTGGTAACGGGCTTCCTAAATGAGTAATAAGAAGGGTTTTTATTAAATGATAACAATGGATCAAATGATGAACAGTGATATTACAGTACTATAATAGAAGTCACTGAAAGTGACAAGTTCACTGTAAATGATCAAGCATCTGTACCTCCCCTTAGCTGTAAAGAGCATTTTAGCCTCTTTCAGCTTCGTTTTGGTTTTTGGGCAAAAATCAACCGTACTGTTTTAGGTCCAACCACACCACCCTCCCCACCAGCACAAGCTAACTAACTGATGGTATTTCAGTAATTCCTTCAGCATCAGGTAGAGACCCAAAAGAACCAAAATGAGAGAATGCTCTCATTTTCACAAGTTCAAGACCAACAGAGACAACTCCAAATGAATGCTAATGTTGCTATGTGTATGCTGGACGTGTAATCAAGCAACAGTTTGCTTATACAATTGTCAACTCTTAAGATTTCAACGTTTAGTAAACAGTGTGTTGCACAGCTACCAAATTACCAAATACTCAGTAGAAGGGAAGCCATCCATCACTGCGTCTCCACACTTTTTCCTGCACTTTG